GATCTAGTCACTGAGATTTTTGAATAACTGTATGTCCTGTGAAGAGGTTAGGAACAAGATGGGAAGTTGCATCATCTTAAGTACAAACAGATCAAGTAAGTCATTGGTCAAACTAAAATTCTTGAAGACAATGAAATGCTATAATTTAAGCAGATGATGCAGTCGGGTTTGAAGGTCTAATGACTTTTGACTTTGACTGTGTTGTATTATATATCACAAATTGACGAAATTTGAAAAGATGCATCATCGGATTTCAAAGCAGTGATCGAGAGATGACGTAATCATTATTTCTCTACCTATCACCTCATATAGCCAAAAGTGTACACCTTTTAGGAATTCCAAACTAAAAATGAAACAACTTTCTATAACCGCTTGATGTTAAAAAGTTCTCTAGTTGTGAGATTACAACAGTATAGTCTTTCAATGGTACAAAGTGTTGCACGGAAAGAAACTATGAGCCTAAAATCTTCTGATGAACAGATTGGAACTTAACAATTCGATTCAAATCCAGTAACCAAAGCTACATAACTTTCGATAATTCACAGTAAAGGGGGACCATAGTTTTATGTTTTAGGTAAGCATCCACATGTTAAAGGAGAATTTTGCACTACTTTTGGCACATTTGATTATATACAGATCAATAAATTGTTTGCGAATCCTAATTCTCTAAAGTCACTAGTCTGTGTTTTAAGACACAAAGAGCGATGCACACTGACTCAGTACTGACAGATTTAATCTCTTACGTTGATTGGTCATTGGTGTGAGTAGGTATTTCCACGCTAACTATTCCGGAAAACTGACTAAATACTACCGATTATTTTAAAAGGTGGTCACGAAGGTAGGAAACTTAGTGTTGTGCTGCACTTTCGATTGTTGTTAGTTGGTTACAGGTGATTGATAAGAAGTTGTACTTGGTCTAAGTTCCGTGGTGTTTGAAATTGCTAGGAAATCGCAGCTACAATCCCGTGGTAACGTCTCTGTCTGTAGTATTGAGTAATGCAGGTCAGGGGATCTGAGAGGAAGTAAGCTGCCTCTATGTTGCAGATATGACCTGCTGGATAGCAACCAAATAGTATCAAACCTAGATCCAGTAGGGCCTCCTCCCAGCTGCAGCCAACTGACTAACCTGTACATCTGTTAAAGTTGGATAGTGGCTTACAGTGGAATACAGCACGCATGTCTCGTCCTTTCTGGGACTTGTCAGCTGGATGTACCTCCCTACCAGTACCAGTGAGTAATGCTGAACCCACCGGGGCTCGGACCCCGGGCCAATCGCTTCTAACACTAGAGCGTTATCCACTACACCACCAAGCCACCCCAGCCATTTCTTGTACGATGGGTATAGTTTCATTGTTGTTGCTTGTATCATCCCGTAGTTGAGTGAACCGAATTGATCAGTCTCCACTGAAATATGAGATCCTGTACGGATGCGTCGATATTGCCAGTGTTTCAGTTATTCATTAATGATGGGTATCTGCTTGTTTTATTACACTACCACAAAATTTAGCAGCTAAATGTTTTCACATGGCTAAAAATGATAAAATGACTCCATAAACTGATATGATATCATGGTCTGAATAACTTCAAAGTTTGGCACCGAGCAAAATTCTCTCAGAGAGGTGGAAAATAACTCGACATTTGAGGAGTTATGTATAAAATCTCCAGTAAATTTACGTCAAAATTTATGTGATTCACCTAGAAGCCTAAATAAACCTCAATTGGTGTTTGTTGAAGACTTGAACAGTACTCTGTGGAGACATCAGTGGTTTGTGTGGATCGACTGCCTTCAAAAAAACATAGTCTTCACCAAAGATTTACATCAGTCGGAATTTTAGAAGAACTGAACAGGTATTTCGTCCTACTTTGTAACTCCTAGGCAGTCCCCACTCATGACCTCGCAGGGGATTTAGACCAGGCAATTCACGTCGCTTAGCATTTCCTTTCAGTGTACTGAAGACATTAGCGATCGAAAACATGGATAGAATCCATTTTATAGACTTCCATCACTAATGCACCCCAGTTATCTATAACTAGTGACCTGGAAATTCCATAAGTGATTGCCAAAACTATATTTCATCAGTTACAAAAGTGGTCCGAGCTAATGAATGTCAATCAAGACTTCACTACCTACCTGTTGGTAGCAGATCAGTCTATCTGTCCAGAATGAGGTAATTAATAAATAAGAGTGGAATCGCTGACAGCTAATTAGTTCACTCCATAATTTTAATGTATACCCGTCCAAATATCATGTAAGACGTCAGTTTGCACTTGGTTTGAATACTTATGAGGCAGTCTGTCATTGGTCCGACCATTCGCATTCCTGTCAATTCGCTAAAGATTCACTATTAACCGACTTTCGAACAGGTAAGTGTATTCATCATTAAATTTTTCATAATAAAAGTGCCATCTTGCCTAGTACATATACCTGTACACTCTTGCCTATAAAATGGTATTCATGATAAGATGTCATTCATCAGTAACGCAATGAAAAACAAGATTTTGAAGATAAAGTCGTCTTACACATCAAGTCGATTGAGAACGAAGTGAATGGACAAACTTCCTCTGGAAAAAAAAATTTTTTTTCTTGATATACATTTAAGACAATCACTCAAAGTACAGAATGTAGAACTTAATGATTTCATTCAAACTCCCGTGAAACTTTCAAACTGAATAAGCCACACACTTCATCATACACAAATCATAAAACTATGCACCGAAAGGTACATATAACTTAGAACAAGCACAACGTGTCAGGCTTAGCGACAAGAAGGTTTTTGAAAAGTGTCGAGTTGATGATATGTGAAGAGATTGAAGGGGTGAAACAACCAACTGAAATATCCCATGAATAGAAGTCCACCTAGTTCGTCTTTAATGAAACAGATGATAAATCAACAAGGAAGGAATACTAGTAATGAATAAAGAATGCTATTAAGTGGTCGGAGGCAACTCTCTCTAAGCTTAGGTTTGGTGTTTCTTGACACTCATCACAAAAGTGCATCAGCAACCTCGTGGGAACTTATGACCACTGTGTGGTTAGAACCCATGTCACCCAAGGCTTCAGTCAGCTACGATACTACTGAGCTATTCGCACTGTGATTGACTTTCTGTAGGACTGGAATATTGTAGCTAGACAAGGAAAATTGTACTTTACTGGGAATAAAAAATCAAATCACCTTATGAAGTCGTAGTGCATTGAAAATGACACCAAGTTCAACTTAGAGTAACACCATTAACTTAGCTTAATCCAAAAAATGCTAATTTCACTGAGTCCGTCTTCACCGTCAATGAGGTCGATAAATTCAACCGGTCTGAGTTCATGTAGCATGAGGCATCGTATGCATATTTGACCATTCACTAATTACGGTTTCGTACATGAGAAAATAGAGAACATATGTTGCTAGAGTGATAACAATACTGTGGAATTACCGAGATAACTTTGTAGATATAGTAAGGTTTAAACTCATGATCGACTGAAAGGAAACGGTTTGTTGCATTCAAACTTCAAATTACTTAACCGTATTCTTCAAAACTTACCCTCAATTACAGTTACTATCGCCTGATTTGAGAATCAGTCTCTATGAACCTCGTTTTTAAGGAGTTTATGATGAAGTCAAGTGTAGATTATTATCTATACTGGACAGATGAAGATGGTAATTCAGATCTCTGCAGACACTGGAACTACATTCCAGAGTATAAAAAACAGCTGGTTGAGATATTCATGAAAGTTCCAGTTCATTTTTGGTAGACCATCGAAAACCAAAGATAGGATAGTCAAAACTGAGGTATTACTGTATGCGATTATCTGAGAGTGTTTGAAGTATCATGTGCAACACTAAAATGTTCACCACTCTAAAGCAAATCACATTCAATGACCAGTATACTAAGTGGAAATCACTTTCCAGATCTTTTGGTCGATAACGTGAAATTCTTACAGCCTAATGCTCTATTTCAGTAACCAAGCGGCTAAGATTTATAACTTTCACCCCCGGCGTCAGAGGACTAAGATGTGTGTTTAAGCAGTTGCAAAACAAATAACAGCTTCATATGTCACTCAGGGTACTGGATAAATTCTTGAGCACCTAGATACATTTTAGACACAACTGCATTCATTCTATAGTACCTTGGAACATTCATGCAACAGGCGTTTGTAACTGATAAGTAGGAGATAATGAACTCAGCTTTCATCACTGTTGCCACTCCCTAAAGTAACATGGTCTAGAACCTCAGAAATATCGACTCTCCCCTGAAAACTCAGATAACGCCACTCAGTATTTTCTCGCTTAAAGTTGATAGCTGAGTTAATGACGAACATCATCAAACGTACAAATTATTGATGAGATATTAACAAATACTATCCCATAGGCTTAAGTAGTGATTAATCAAAGTTTTTCGACAGAAAATTACGACTTCAAATTAATTTAGGCGATATTAGAATATAGTGAGTTGAGCTTGGTGGTCGAACATTGTGAGTTTATCAGTAGGACATTCTGAGCTTATCTGTTGTTACTTAGTGCGTGTTAAGAATGTACCATTCTGTTTAGTGGTCAAAATATGCTACTTTGTAATAGATTGCGTCTACCGTGGTTAGCACAGACAGATAGTAATCCCAGGCTTCACACCGTAGTTCTGACTCACGACCTAGTGAATGACCTGCACATGGTTGCTGACTTCTTTTGTTGCTGTCCTTACCTCATTGATAAACTGGACGACTTTACAGGCTATCCTTACAAACCGTGAAATAACCAATTACATTTCTTTATCTTATGAAGAACTACCTCCCCGGGTGAAACCTGGTTGGTTATTTCATCAGTTGCTAGGGTAGCCTTTAAAGTAATTGGGTAAACTTTGCTCAGTGTAATACGCCAAAGGTTACACGCCAGATGTTATTCTGTACAATGTTTTTTCCCGTGTATTCAAACAAACTTCTTAATAAATCACTTCAATAGTTTTATTCCACTATATATGAGTACACAATCAACTATAAGTTTTAAGAGACTTACCGCCTTGCACAATATGACAATATCTTTCAGTGTGATAAATCTCTCCACATAGAATCACATAAAAAAAAGATTAGTGATTGAAGCAAGGGAAGCAAGCGATTTTGTGTGCGCTTATCATCCACCCAGTAAGTTAATATACGCTACGTTCAGTTGTACAGATTGGTTTGTTGTGTCTGCGCGATCAAGGCATGGCACAGAGACACGCCCTTGTACAGACATATGTTTGTGTGTAGGTGTGTCGTGCACATGTACTGTTTGGGTGTGTAATGTGAAATACATTTCTCACTTGTAAATACGGAATTTGGATCTCATCCCTTTTTATCATTCCTCTTGCCTGATATTGGTGGTTGGATAACAGAAAGATGAGTCATTCAACAATCTCACGATACTATATTGAATGAATCTACTGTTATTCACACCAGGTGTATGGATATTTAAACAAGGCGTTCAATGATCAATAGACAGCATAGCAAACATATGAGCAGACATACATGCACATTGAAGATTGCAAATATAAAATAACTGATTTCTGTTGACGGTTGTGCGAAATATGATCATTCTACTCTTCGTCTGTAGGTTGTAAGGCAAGTCATTTGTATGATCGATCAAAGAGCAGTTAAACAAGCAATAAACATTATTTTTTATTTTCCCTTGGGTTCCTAATGGAACACAGGGCGTCAGTAACACGCCTCCATTGCACTCTCTTCTCTGCAGTCAATTCAACCTCACTTCACGACTACCCACAAGCTTTCATTTCCTCCTCACATGATTTCCTCCATGTCACCCTCATCTCGGAAACCCAACTGGTCGTTTCCCATTTGGATTCCACTCGACGGCCTGGTCTGGTGCATGATGTCGACAAACGGTCTTCTCAGTGCATGCCCAATCCATCTCCACTTTCTTCTGCATATGTGTTGGGCGATAGATTCTTGGTTGGTTCATTGCCAGCCAGCCAGCCAGCCAGCCAGCCAGCCAGCCAGCCAGCCAGCCAGCCAGCCAGCCAGCCAGCCAGCCAGCCAGCCAGCCAGCCAGCCAGCCAGCCAGCCAGCCAGCCAGCCAGCCAGCCAGCCAGCCAGCCAGCCAGCCAGCCAGCCAGCCAGCCAGCCAGCCAGCCAGCCAGCCAGCCAGCCAGCCAGCCAGCCAGCCAGCCAGCCAGCCAGCCAGCCAGCCAGCCAGCCAGCCAGCCAGCCAGCCAGCCAGCCAGCTGGTTTATTCTTATTATGCTGGCCATCTGATCTTCAGTATTGAGCGTAGGCAGCAGCTGTTGATGAACGTGTCTAGTTGGTTAGAAGTGCTTTTCGTAACCCACCAAGTTTCTGAACCATCACAAAGAAGCACTGAATTGACATTGGTGTTAAAAATCTGGATACTGTTATTTGTGCTGAGTTCAGAAGATCTCCACATTGATTTCAGATTAATGAAGACCTGGCTTGCTGTCTTTCCGATCCTGGTTTTGACATCCTCATCTGTGCCACACACACCCACCGATAGTTGAAACGATGCTACCCTGCCTAGGTAAATGAAATAGACTACTTGTTTTAGGTTTCTCCCTGCCACGGTGATTGCTGTCTCTTGTTGTTGATGCTGTTGTTTGTTGGGTATCTTCATCACCACCGTCATCTCTACGTTCACTTGAAGTCCCATCTTCGCTGTCTCGTTTCTTCTACCAACTTGTTAGTTTTCACCCGTAGATCTTCAAGCTTGTGCGACAAGACATTAGACATAAATCGTCATCTGAGAAATCCAAATCTTCTTCTGGTCTCTTTTCATCGGTCAAGCAGCGTATGCCCATCTTCTCGCTCGTCACAGTTGGCTTCAAGATGCAGTCGATGACAATCAGGAAGATTATGGGTGATAGTATGTGGCAGCCTTGTCTTACTCCTGTCTTCATTGCAATGGCGTCACTGAGCTTTCTATTGTGGATCACTTGACATGTGGTGTCTTCATATAGCTGTTGAATGAGATTGATAAAGATTTGTGACAGTCGGTAGTGATGAAGCAACTGCGTGTCAAATTACTTGTCGGTCGACGCTGTCGAATTCTTTTTCAAAGTCGATAATGTTGAGGTAGAGAGTTGACAAGCAATAAACATGATTGCTTATTATTTTCACTGTTGAACTAACCTGAGGCATATATGTTACGTTAGTCATCTTAACTATGAATTAATTTGGTTTTAGCCAAAACTTAACGTCACAGGAAACAATCCGTCTATATTCTCTCTGTAAGCTACTGTAACGTTACTGAATTACTAATTCCATAGATGCCAGACGTCATTAATGTGGCAGCCACACTCAGACCTATAATTGTCACTGGGATTCACTACTAACAATAGTCGTTAAAACTGGCTGTACTAGACTTCTGCTAGTGGTTAACACTACAATGTTGAATATAGAGTCTGCTATACTGAACATTATTTTCCTAATTATCAATGGAATTCTGAATAATGATTAAAAATCAAACCTTTATTTCTTTAAGACTTCACATCTCATATTGAATCCTTGATTTTCGCCAACACTATTGAAGTACGTATTTGACTCAGATACCTAGATGATACATTTGTAAAAAGATCTGCCATCGGAACCTTTTTTGTAAATTAATTAAATTCTCATTCTTCATATATTGAATAACAACACATTCAAATTCATGTCTGGATTTCAACTCAGTACATGTACTCAGTGTTAAACTTTCGCTTGCTGAAAATTTGATCAGAAGGACTATAAACCTCGTCATGACTGAAGGCAGCAGACAAATGGAAGTAAAAAAAACATAATAGATGTGTTACATACCAATAACTACCTTAAGAATGTCGTTCAAAAATTCAAAACCATTAGAGCAAGGATCCAAGAAGATATTGAAATGACGAGGCCTGGATTAGTACAGTAGTTCTATCATTCCGTTAAGGTACAACTTACGAACTGGAAAGGATCTTAAGAAAAACACCAAAATAGAGCCTACTACAAAACAGCCAACACTTCCAGGAATGCTTTAGTTCATTTGAAGGATAGAACTTCTTTTATCTCCATAGGGGATTTTGTGTACAAATAAGGGGGTGTCAGTTGTGATGTTTATTATATTGGTGAATCATCCCGGGAGATCCTCATTCAGGCTAAAGTAGGACGACTTTAAAGACCAACCTAGCAGCCGGGGAAATAACCAGTCAGGTTTCAGTATTTTGCTTACAAAGGTGGTTTTTCATAAAATAGAGAAGCCTAATTGGTTATCTCAGCAGTTGGTAGGGTGACCTTTAAAGTCATTACTAAATAACATGCAAGGTACACAGAACGATAGCTAAATAATCTTCTAGAAGTATAGAGTTTACAACTCAAATCGGCAATAGCTGTTCATACCATCCATCACAGTCACAAAATTGATTTTGAACACATTAAAATTTTTCAAACAGCTTTTCCAAACAACATGGAAAGATGTATAGCTAAAGCCTTTCAAGTTATGCTGAATCCTAAAGCACTCCACAGGAAGGAAGGTCTAACTATCCAACCAGCCTGAACAGTATTTCCAAAGACAGCACGTCACATAAAATGATCAGATTGAACTCACCGACTAAAAACTGATAACGCTGACACGCATTGCTGCTACTTGTGCTATCCCCTCGTTAATTGGACCGTAATGATAGGTCTCTGTTGGTATATTGGCTCCTGCACGGATTCCTACCTATCATTAAAATAAGACTGAAACAGAAGCAATATCGAGGCATTCGTCTAGGAGCTCATATGCCAATAGAGACCGACCAATTTGGTACACTCCACAACGGGACAATAAAAGAAACAACGTTTAAGTTATACCCGCACCACGAGAAGTGGCTAACGTGGCTCGGTGGTCTAGTGGATAACTCTATGGCATTAGAAGCGATGGGTCCTCAGTTCAAGTCCTGGTGGGAACAACATCGCTTACTGGAAGCAAGTAAATTCAGCTGGTGAGTCCCAAAAGAGAAGAAACGTGTGTCCTGTATTACATTGTTACTCACTGTCCATCATTAATAGATGACATTTATTCCTATATAATTATAATGTATGAACAACATGATCTGATTTGTTACCATTCACTGTTTAAGCCTTCAATAACTTGTACAGGCTTTATTCGCTGAAGAAGCTTTTTCCTCAGGGTCGCGAAACTTCAAAAATTTATTTTTCTACGTCAGTGGGATTTTTCAAATATATTTCATTTAAAACTTGCATTCTTTGTTTTAAACTACTGAGCATCATTTGTTTGAATTTTGAGTTACAGCAGCCACTTGCTATGAAGCCTACGTCGGTTTCATTTAAAACTGTCTTATTCGTATCATTAGAATAAACTGACAAAACCAGATAACTTTCGGTTGTTGCTAAATTGGACTATTAGTTTAGCACTGGAATGTAACAGAAGCCTCTTCTCTTTTTCCTTCTGATATATGAGGTGAAATGAAAATGAAATTTTTTAAGCTTTTTCGTTCGGTTTAATCCAAAGAAAAGAACTCAGTAGCGGCTCTTGTTTTGTTCACTGTGACACTCAATCTATTAATGGCCATTAGAGCTGTTTCATCATAGTTGAAGCCAAAACTTAAAAATATAGGTGTGTGTCTGATTTTATAACTGAGTTATGCGGAGTCGAACCTCGGGTGGGACACCAGTTCCTTTGAGGTTTCTGGTATGCCATGTTGAGGAGTGCCAAAAAGCATGAAACTTAGGTTTAGTAGACTTTCTGTCATTGCCTCCATTTAAGTATCATCTGTTTCAATCTACCGGGATGGTGGGTCATCTAGTTTAATGGCCACATTGCAAAATGATCGACAGAATTTGATCAGCACCGTTGACTAGATAGCATGAATTTGGTTACACTCCAGTGATCAGTCATTGCATCTAATCCAGTCCTACAAGGAGCCAATCGGATCCCGATTAGCTCAACAGTACGTCGCTGATTGCAACACTGGATGACGTGCATTCGAACCCCAGGTAGGACATCAGTTCTGTTGAAGTTGGTGCTACACCCTATTGATGAGTGCCGACAAGTGCGAAACCTCGGTCCAGGGCTTCCTGTCGATTACCTCTATCCAAAAAATATAGGCTTCCCCTTAGAGGTATACAACTTCACAATCTCCTTCCGTACTCTCGCATACTTATTTATGAATTATTAAATGTAACTTCATGTCATACAGAAACTCGTTTAATAATTATCCTCTGGGCAACAAGTGTCACAAATTAGTAACCTACTTACCTGTAAATTACTTCGAACAATTTAATCACTATCCAGTATAACAGGACGGTAATCGGTTGTATTTGATTTACCAAATTCTAACAAATATGAAGACTCAATATACATATATCGTGCATAATACAACCCACTTTCAGATCAGTCACGACGCTGATTCGTTGAATTTGTTTAGGATTTTTAAAAAGTAGGATGATCCAGAATATAAATACTGGTGACTAATGTTCCATGAATCGTACAATTACCGTAGTATAAGTTTTGGCAATGAGCTGTACGCCAAATTTTATCTGATAACAGTAAATTACTTTTTCATTATGTGTTGTCTGTTTATGTAAAAATGAACCAATACCCAAGGATCCAATATAGCTAAATATACGTTATTGCCTTTTTAGAAAAGAAAGATGAGTCGTCATTCTTTTCTGTTACTTATTTCCAAATAAATTATGATATTTGCTTGCCTAAGGAATATAACGACGGCCTATTAAAACAGTAAGGCGGTTCACTTGACTAGTTCTATGCATGCAAGTCAAACAAGGTTTTCATAACCAGTGACGGATAGTGAATAGCAGTAGAATTCAGAACTAGCGTTTCGCCCCATTCAGGACTCATCAGTTGTGTGCTTCTATTTCCAAGTGAGTAATGTTGTTTCCATCACTATTTGAAGCTAGAAGCCATCACTTCAACCACTGGAGTGTTACCCACTAGGCTGTTGAGCTATGATAGCTACTCCATGAGCTGTAACATCAATGTTTTCATCAGTTTATTCTCGCGAACACTTGAAAATCTTAGTTTCTTGTTAATTTAGTAATAGTCACTTATCACGCATAAATTTTTCAACAGATTGTAAAAACGTAGAATATTGTTTTTAGTTCATTAGAGATCTGAGCCAAATCAAAATGTAGGGCTCACTAGTGATGGGTTTCTCGAAGTTGAATAAGAACACTGTGATCTGTAGCATCAGTTATCTCGGAAGTGAGAATGGCTACCTACTGGTGACAGTAAACAACATCATGCTAGTTAACTAACCGACGGAAGTTATAAAATGAGGAGCATTGGATTTCAAACACTCACTGATTGGTACCGTACTCATGGTGAGAGTAGACTTTTCTGGACAATATCCTGTTTACTACTGTCGATCCAAATATCTAAGGAGTGATAAGCCAAAAGGAAACCACTGTCAAATGTCCTCTGTTTTCCACTGGCGGTTTAACTCTTGTCAATCCAACATGAAAACTACCTTGAAATAGAGGATGGTAGTTGGCTGGCCCTGTCAAACTTCATAGTTTTTAATAAGAATTGAATTATTTGAGACGCTTTTTACTGATAATAATCGCTTATTCTTGCAGACTAAATTTAAGTGTTGTCAAATCTTCTGAAAGAGTTTACATGAGTATAACCTAGATCAGAGATGGAAGACAGAGAATGAGGGTAAACAGAGTTTTTTCTTTGTGAAAACCAGACAGTAGTAGAGTACCACAAAGTACTATCTTAGTTTACATCTCTTCCTACTTTATATGAATGAGTTGCTCAGATCAATAAGGTGTTCCTTACTCCTGTTTGAAAAGGACATTCTACTCCGAAGGCTTACTCACATTGATGAGGATAGGCTGCTGCTCCAAGAGATGATACCTGGAAATTAACATCACGAAGAGTGTAGTCATGTGAATAGGTCACGATGATCCACATAGCTACTTGATCAGTGACACCAAATCGAATCAAAGTGCGCTCAGCAACCTTATGCACATTTGTGCAGTAGGCAACGAGCGACACTTCTTGTGTGAAGGCTAGTGATACTATCTGGCTGCCTAAACCTCGGTTGGTGGAGTGGGGCTCGAAACCGTAACCCATTGGTTGAGACTTTTCTCCCTAAGCCAACTAGTTAAAGCTTCACTGATCAACAACGTGTGGCTACATAAAGTAACTGACTGAACACAAGGAATAAGTTGTC